ACGGAAGCCCTCTAGTGGCTGTCAAGAGTCAGCCACTAGAGGCTGGATTAACCCATTTATAAACATAGCACTTTCTCTGAAACTGCTATGTTTATAAAAAAAAAAGGGGGTTAACCCTAGCTGGACCTGGCACATTAAGCTGAAGTGGTCTGGGTGCCTATAGTGGTCCTTTAAACAAAGCGCAGGCCTTAAAGACACCTGCAGAGTTCAGCACAACTGGTTAGGACTAAAACATGGACCAAAAGTCACTTTTTTTCCTCAATCTAAATAAATGCAAACTAATTTTTTAAAGCACTGACATATCACAGCACTGTACAGTTAAATATCTTCTTTTTTTTTAATCACTTAAAATGTCTATGTCATCATATATAATTCATACACTACATTTTTACTGTATTATTTTAAATAAAGTAAAAGGTTTCCAGCTAACCTTGGGCATGGTTGCAGACAGCATCATCGGTGAGTTGTGTTTCCTGCAGTGTGGAATACTGGGAGCTAATCTGCAAATCACACACTCTGATTGGCTGCTAATTATCACTTGTTTTCATCAGTAACTGTTACAAGTGGTAATAATGCCTCTACACTAAAAGCCTGACAGATTTTTAAAGGAATAGAAATCAATACAATTTCAGTAGAAATAGGCACATTTGTAAATGGGGCAGAAACAACACCCAGGCTGTTAATTAGACAGTGGGGGATTGGAGGCATTCTTACACTTCTGTTAACTCTGCAGCCTGCCCGCCTTCCCCCCTTCTGTAACACAGCTCACAGAGAAGCATAGGTAAGCTACAGCTGATGGATTGCAAAGGGTAGGATATCTACTAAATCAAAAAAATAGAATTCAATTTAAATTGCTGCAAATGCATATTTGCTGAGAAATGGCGGCCACTGTGAATCCAGCTCCCCATAGAAATCCCTCTTTTTTTTTAAATAGTTTTTTTATTATTAGTTTCGTGGGGTCCATGAATCTTACCAACTAGTGTAACGATGTTTGTATTCGTAACACTAGAGTTTTCCTTTATGTATCGATCTAACAGTTTCGCATTATTGTTCAAAGCCACAGAGTATGTATCCATAAATAAGCAAAGGTACAAAGTGTTTTCATTAAATGCTGTAGCACTCGTTGCACACATTCTCTGGTTGTGCTCCTTTTAATTATAATCTGTGTGTTTATACCACTATAAAAGCCACAGTGGAGCGATAGTAGCACCTATTCCGGGTTATTTACTTTTTGTTTTAGGGGTACTGCAGTAACTTCTGC